TAAGAATCATGTTCATACCACGTTCATCATCCTTTACAAGCAGCAGTGCTCATAGCTGCGGCGTTCACGATTTCGTGTGGCGACTCGCTACCTTAAGTGAAACCGCTTTCAGAAAGCAGCACAGTGGCGCATACCAGCAGATTTCAGGCAAGGTTTATATTTTTTTGCTACCGGTACCATCTTCCCCATGACGAAATATGATATGTTTCCAAAGCTATGAAGAACTAGAAGGAAAAATATGCTCACTCGGTTTCATGCGCTGAAATTCCCGCAGATCAAACAAATTACTTCAGGATATGTTTCAATTACCAGTTCCAAATTGCAGCTGGAAATAAACGAAACGCTTATGTTTCAATCTTCCATCGTTCCACAGTTTGCACAGATATTTTTATTATTACACAGCTGAGAATTTTTGTCCAAAATATTATGTGATCAAATACAAAAAATCGCTCCATGGTTCGCTTTGACGAGAAGTCTAGTGTCCACTTTTCTTCGTTCTATCAAGCACTATTCATCCTAAGCCTTGCCTATTAAAGCTCTGTAGCACTTCTCATTCGCTTCATAATTAGTAAGTAACACTTATTTAGCGCAATTTGTATGGCTTCATTTCTCACAGTCATTTTGCTTGACGGCTAGCTCATGCGATCACAGTTTAATGTTCTTTTAAAAAAAACCGCCCATGTTCAGCACCCCTGCCTGGAATATACAATGATCATCATAGCAGATAGACAGAGAAGCTCGTAATATTGTTTACAAAAAATCCCTGTACAACTGAGTGTTCGATTTACCCAGATTACTCACCATGAACCAAGTCGACGATCGAAATAAAAGCGACGAGCAGAACAACAAACTGGAGCACAGAAGACGACATTTTTCTCCTGAACGGTGACAAAATGACCAAGCTTACCGTTTATACTGGGCAACCAGTGTTTGCATTTCCTGCTGCTGTGTTTGTCCTTTCTTGGATAAGCAAATATCGAGCCGCCTAGCCTCTTCTGTGTCGCTGAGGCAAAGGAGCAAACACAGCGACTCGCTGATTTGTTGTTGAAAAAGCTCCGAGAATCAAGTGATGCTAATGATGGTTCGTTACTCCATCTTAACTATGAAATTTACTAACTTGACGTCTCCTATTTTCTATGTTCAGGATATTTTTGATGCGAAAATTACGGGATTGCTGTTTTGGGAAATGTAAAGCCAAGAACTCATGCGAGACTATGGTTTTTAGCTATCAAAATGAGGTATCCCAATGCGCCAACTTTTGATTCTCATTTATAAAAAAATGTCTATCCAAAATTAATCGGAGATCTATCTGATTAGCTAAAAGTGAACCTAATGGAAAAACAGCATTGTGGCTCGTCGCTGAAGGTTCTGCGCGTCGATAGAAAGCAGTTCAATGAAACAGGTTCAAAAATTTGCACATTAATTATAAGAGAATTTCAACGTTTCAACAAACGGGATGCGGCCCACAATGAAGCGGTTTACATGACTAGAACAAAGATATTCACTGCTTCAGTTGAACATTTCTTGGAGGAAACCCCGCACAAAGATTGAGTCAATAATGTCATGAATAAGATAAGAAACAAGAGATACCACTAGAAAACCTGACCTGCTGGTCAGTGCGGAAAATGGTCCTCATAATAAGGGTTCATGATATTGGTGTCGTTACCTACGTACGACGTCAACATGAAATGAACCTTTCAAATCAAGTCAATTGCTTCGAAGCTGACGCTGTACTCTAATTCAAAGATTCATGAAAAGTGATCATCTAAGAAATTAAATATGAACTAACTTTTAATTCGCTTTATCGAAAACCAGTTGTGCAATTCTACATCTGAGATCATAGAATCTTTAGCCGCTTCTCTATAATAACGTAGACTTTCTAATTGACAACTCCCCGGATATTCATTACCGTAGTGGGCTAGGCACGTGGACTACATGCTAGACAAAATTATTGTTATTGTTGTCTGACACCTAAACCCCCTATATGAAGAAGTGAACTGTCAGGTCTATATTCCCCTGATGTGATGACTCACACAATGAGAAATATTGCAAGGGAAGAACTGCTTTGTATCATGGATAAAGATGCGCCGTCATGAATACTTAAGGCACTGTGCAAAAAAATATCGTTCATCTTCTTGGCACCGCTAAAGAATTATCAGAACAATGACTAAACAAACGCGCCTTAGTTGCAAAAGCGCTAATTTATCGCTTCTAGTAAATTTCAGGTCATCTTTTGTCAGTCTACAATTCAGATCTCTTGAAACCAAATGAGAAAACGCGTCCAGTCATTCAGTTTTTGAAGTATGTCCTCGACCTCCTTTGAGCCATATCCGAAGCATCCGTGGTTTAACAGATAAATAACGTCGACATCCATTGGCAAACCGTAAAGGATTTTCTGAACGATCCATTTTTATCACGCTTCATAAGAGGAATAGGGTTCCTCTCTGGATTAGCTGCTTCCAGATCACGTGTTTTGATCATTAAACAACGGGCGAACCGTCATACAGCCACGTTAGCCTGAAGCAACAGTAAAGGAGATTCCGTCGAGCTCTTTTTGCTCCTAACCGCCGTATATTGAATCAGCTTTGACTACGACTGAAAGTACAGTCCTTGCTGCTCTTATCATGCACTATTCCACGGCACTTCGTCACTTTCTCTAGCATCGACAAAACGCATGTGTCTCATCTGCGGAGCACCACACAGACAATCGTCAACCCAGTTGTTGTGCCACGTACAGAGACAGAAGGGGCTAGTACTCATTTTTGCAGCTGGTCGAAAGAGCTTATTGCAGAGGCTCTACACCAAGGCTCTACCTGATGTCACA